TGAAAGAAGGAAGGAAAGTGAAACAAGGAAGGAAGAAATAACAAGGAAGGAAGGAAGGAAGGAAGGAAAGTGAAACAAGGAAGGAACAAGGAAGGAAAGAAGGAAGGAAGGAAAGTGAAACAAGGAAGGAAGAAATAACAAGGAGGGAAAGAAGGAAGGAAGGAGAAACAAGGAAGGAAAGACTAGAAGAAAGGAAAGAAGGAAGGAGGGAAGGAAGGTGAAAGAAGGAAGGAAGGAAGGAAGGAAGGAATAACAAGGAAGGATGGAAAGAAAGGGAAGGAAGGAAGGAAGAAAGGAAAGTGAAACAAGGAAGGAAAGAAGGAATAACAAGGAAGGAGGGAAAGAAAGGAGGAAGGAAGGAATAACTAAGGAAGGAGCAATGTGCTGTCCAGCCAGTGTATGGGGATTGGATAGTTAGGTAGCAATTGTGAGCTGTCCCCTTAAGGGAATGCATCATGGTAAATGTAGTTAAGGTAGCCTGGGAAATGTAGTCCATATCACGTGACCACATCTGTAATCTTGATTGGTCACTAAATTGACCCTTGATGGGTTGGGGGAGTTTTCCTCACTTTTGCCTGAACTCCCTAACTCACGGCAGTTGCTTTCTATCGCTAGGAGATGGGTTAGGAGATAACCAGCTTTTATTACAAGGCAGATATGCAAAGGATTGGTCATTAAAGAAGAACTTCATCACAAATGTGAGTTATGAGGATACCTGATGAACCAATAAATGTACTTCGTTATGGACGTCTTGTTGAGTTTACCTATCTGCATCTGCACAGCTTATAAATCCACCTTTGTAGAGGATACAGAAAAAACAACAAGGAAGGAAGGAGAAACAAGGGAGGGAGGGAAGGAAGGAAGAAAGAAAGAAAGAGCAACAACACCAATTCTTGAATCTAACTGGACCTGTTATTTGTCAAACAAAACCCACCGCACTGGGGGCCAAACCTTCCCTCTGCCCTTCCCCTTTGCCAAGAAGGGCTCAAAGGGCAGAAGGTCCCGGGACGGGGGGGGGGGGGGCAGGGACCCAAGATTGGGGGGAGAAGGGAGTCACTGAGTGAGGGAGCGCGCATGCGCGTGAAGGCGCCCAAGGGCTCCCCAATCAACCGGCTCACAGAGCCCCAAGTCCTCGCTGGCTGTGGGGCTGCGCCGCCCCTTCTCTCATCCACTCCACGCCGGATCCTTGGGGGGGGGGGAGCAAAAGGAAATCCATGCTCCCCTCCAGGGCTGGCATGACCCCCCCTTGAATGCAGCCCCCCCCCACAAGACTGAAAAGGTTCCCCCTCCCACTTTCTCCGCTTCTCTCTCTGCGCTGAACTATCTTCTCTTGGGCTGAAGTCAAGGGAGACTCCACCCGGAGACCGATGACGCTGCAAAAGGGAGGATTCCCATTGGTTCTGCTTTTATGTGCCCGCCCAATTCCGAAGTTAGAGGAAAACTCCTCCCCCCCCCATCCAGACCACCCCCCCGATTCCTCCTGTGGGGCCGGGAGCTTCTGCATCTTCCTCCCCTCCCTTTACTGAGACCCCCAGTAAGGAGGGGGCTGGGCGGGGGAGGGAAGCCCCAGAAAACCCTCAGCTAAACCGCTTCTTCCCCCTCGACTAATCGGTTCTCGCAGCCAGGAAATCCCTCCTGATCCTTCCCAGGTCGGATCCCCCTCAGAGGTTTCGCACCGATCCCATTTTCCCTTCCAGGGTGATCCCCCTTCTCCGGGCTTCTGTCAGCTGAGGGGCGATCCCTGGAGACGCTGCCCCACTCCGGGATCTGCTTCTGGGATCCCAAGTGAGCGAGGGAGAAGATCCCCAGGGCAGGAGGGGGACTCCGGTCGCTCTCTAGGAAGGGTCCCAAGCGGGGTTTCCCCCCACCCAGAGCCCAGCCGAGACCCCCGATCCCCGCTTCTCTTCCGGCCCAAGCCCAGAATTCAGGCAGGTTCCCTGTCTGAACAGCGGTTCTTCCTCGGTCCCCCTCCCCAATTCTCAGCCGAAGGACAAAGGAACCTCCCCGCAGTCCTGTTTCAGGGACCCTTCCCCTCCCCCGAGTTAGCCAGAAAGAGCCCGGAGGCCCCTTTCCGAGGAGGACCAGGCTCCGGGGGAATTTTGGGAACGTAAGCGGACATGTAGTCCACCCCTCCGTGCACACAGAGGAAAGTCTAGCTGAGAATGGTGAAGAGAGCAAAGAAAGTGGGGGGGGGTGTCCCCGCAGGGCCTGCCCCGAACCCCGCCTTGAGCTGCAGCGCCCCAACACTGAAGGGATCCCCCCTCTCACTTTCAGTCTTCGCCCTGAACTCTCCCTCCTCCTTCAGGTGAAGCCACAAAGGACTCTGCCCGGAGACCGATGACGCCGGAGCAGGGGGAATTCCCATTGGTGATTCCGCTCGCTCTGCCCCCCCCCCCCGCCCAAAAGTCCGAGGAAACAGCGAGGGGAAGTCAGGGGTCATCCACAAACACCCCCAAACGGGAGGGAAGCCCCGGAAAACCCTCAGCTAAACCAGGGAGAGGCGCCGCTTCGCTTCGGGGGAGAAAAAGGCGATTCCCCTCCTTGAAACCCGCGTCTCCCTTGCTCGGAACGTCTGGAAGAAGCGGCTCCTTCAGGTCTCCCGCCCCTCCAACCCCCCCCCCCTCCTTCCGTCTGTGGGTCAGGAGGACCCCCCTTTTCCTCGTAAAGGAGTAAAGTTTGGGCCGTTTCTCCTCCGCTTCCCGCTCCTTTCCTCGGAGAACTTCGACAGGGGTTGGACTAGATGGCCTCCAGGATCCCTCCCAACTCTATTAATCTGCTATCTGGCCACCATCTAAGAATCTATATACTTTTTTCAGATTGCTGGGGATCATATGCTGAGAGTGTGGGAAATGTGGGAAATGTGGGAGAGTGTGCGAAATGTTGCTTACTGTCCCTGTCTTATTGTTTCTTTTTATTTTTCTTATAAGTATCCATCTCATGTATTCAAAACTATGTTTATTCTTATACCTGTATCTTGTAAGCGATTGACAAACCAAATAAATACAAATAAATACAAATAAATTATGGAGTGGTACATAAGTCTAAGTGGAATTGCTGTTGCTATGTAGTTTCTCCCAACCATGGATCCTTTTAGGAGAAGATGACCATTTGGAGCAAAACTCTTTCCACATTTCATGCATGGTATTTTATTTTAGTATATGTTTTATTTTTATTCATACACATTTTGAATACAGCGTATTGTCAGGGCATATCATTTAGGAAAAAGAACAAACAAATATCAATATGGTAACATAGTAACAATAATGATAGTGTAACAATTTTAACTGAATTTCTTGTATTAGCTTATTTAATTATATCAATATGTTTCTAATTGTCAACCTTCTTTGTATTTAATTCCTACATAACAACAATCTTTCATCTAATTTCTAATGGGAAATAAGATGTCAACTATGAGCAAAGGTCTTTCCCCATTACATGCATTTATATGGCTTCTTTCATGTGGATCGTCTTATGGGAAGTAAGTTTATATCTATGAGCAAAGGACTTTCCACATTCCGTGCATTTAAATGGTTTCTCTCCTGAGTGGATCTTTGTGTGTTGTCTGAGTCCATTGCTATAAGCAAAGGTCTTTCCACACTCCATGCATTTAAATGGCTTCTCCCCTGTGTGGATCATCTTATGGGAAATATAATGACCTCTTTGAGCAAATGTCTTTCTACACTCCATGCATTTATATGGTTTCTCCACTGCGTGGATCATTTTGTGGCTTCTAAGGCTACTGCTCTGAGTAAAGGTCTTTCCACACTCCATACATTTATATGGCTTCTCTCCTGTGTGGATCTTTTTGTGCCTTTTAAGATCACTGTCCTGAGTAAAGGTCTTTCCACACACCATGCATTTATACGGCTTCTCTCCTGTGTGTATCATATTATGGAGAATAAGATGACCACTTTGAGCAAAGGTTTTTCCACACTCCATGCATTTAAACGGTTTGTCTCCTGAGTGGATCTTTTTGTGCCTTTTAAGATTACTGTCCTGAGCAAAGGTCTTTCCACACTCCATGCATTTAAATGGTTTCTCTCCTGTATGGAGCTTTTTGTGGCTTTTAAGGCTACTGCCATGAGTAAAGGTCTTTCCGCACTCTATGCATTCATACGATTTCTCTCCTGTGTGGATCTTTTTGTGCCTTTTAAGATAGCTGTCCTGAGTAAAGGTCTTTCCACATTCCATGCATTTATATGGTTTCTCCCCTGTGTGGATCCTATTATGGATAGTAAGTGTATTGCTATGAGCAAAAGTCTTTCCACACTCCATGCATTTGTAGAGCTTTTCCCCCATGTGGGTCCTTTCATGGGAACTAAATTCCCAGCTTGTTCTAAAACATTTTCCACATTCCAAACATTTATAAGGCTTCTCTTTTGTGTCCATCGCTTTTTGAGATGTAAGGAAGTTACTCCCAAGAGAAAGAACAAATGTTCCATTGCAATTTTGTCCATTGTGTCTTCTTATAGCATCTTCTCTTTTGTTTTGGGTTAAATAGTGTTCACTTACTTGTACTTTACCTTTGAATAGCTTCACACTTTTTCCAGTATATTTTTTCCTTATTTTCTCTTGTTGGGCAAGAAAGTCTTGCATCGGAGCCTCACTGGAAGATGAGCTTTCTTGGTTGCAATTTTTTGACTGGTTTCTCTCATGGCTTTCAAATTCTATTTGAATTCCAAACTTCTCCGTTCCATCTTTAGCATTGATCACTTGGAACAATTCATAGGAATCTTGATTCTCCTGCCCATTATTACCTTCAAAGCAAAAGAGAAATGAAAATGATAACAAGGCCTATAATAAAGAAAAAACATATTTAATTATACATATATTAACAGCAGCTAGAATTGTATTTGCTCAAAATTCGAAAAATGAAAAGGTTCCAACGGAGAAGGTGATTAAGAAAATATTGGAATGTGCAGAAATGAGAAGATTAACATTGGCAATTAGAGAACAAGAAGAAATTGAATACTATATGATATGGGATTTATTTTATAAATGGTTGGAATATAAAGTAAGAAATTAAATGATATTTTTATAATGATATATAATGTTGAATATGTTATAATATGAATGTAAACTTAGTAAGAAATGTATACAAAATATTAATATGTGCACAAGATACATGTACCCAGTCGACACACTGTGTAACTGAAAGATGGAGTTGGTTTTTTTAAAAATAAAAATAAGAAACTTAAATGAAAAAGAAAATGATAACAAGGTTAGAGAAAAAGATCAAAGTGTAGAAAGTCAAGTGAATTTCTTTCTGAATTTTTCAGAAAACACCATTAGGTTGTATCAGGGGTGGGATTCTACCAGTTCTGTCCACCTCTATAGAACCGATAGTTCTGTTCTTCAAAATACTTTTTGCGTACTTTAATTGGTATTGTCTGAAATACTGTATAATAGACATTTTAATCGTGGCAATCCTACCTAGTAATGAGAGTTGCAGTTTACCCCGTTTCTAAATCCTTTTTTACCTTTTGCAATAGTTTGTCATAATTATTTTCCTTTAGTGTTTTGCAATGTGCTGTCAGCCATATTCCCAAGTATTTAACTTTATCACTTGAAGTCCCATGACCTTTTCTAATTCTAACTTCTGTTTTCCTGTTAGATTTTTAGTCACTAATTTCATTTTCTATTAATTTTTAATCCTGCAACTACTCCAAATTGTTCTAATTCATTCATCAATTTTTGTCCTCTTTTAATTGGCTCCTCGATAAAAAAAATCATATCATCTGCAAACGCTTGCAGCTTATATTCTTCTTTCTTAACCTTTAATCCTTTTATGTCTGGATTTTGTCTAATATATGTTAGTAATGTTTCCAATGATAATATGAAGAGCAGGGGTGAGAGTGGGCAACTCTGTCTGATTCCTTTCTCTATTTTAATTGGGCGGGTATATTCCCCATTTATCGTGATGTTCGCCTGTTGTGTATCATAAATAGTAGTCATAATATTTTTGAATTTGGTGCCTAAATTCATATTATAAATTCTTTGGATTAAAAACTGCCAATTCAGGTTATCAAAGGCCTTTTGTGCATCTAAAAACATAAGGGCTATTTGTTTTTCGGGGTGAGCTTCATAAAATTCCAGGACATCTAGTACTATTCTTAAATTATTCCTGATTTGTCTGTCTGGGAGAAATCCATTTTGGTCTTGATGAATAAAATCATTCAAAATGCTTTTTAATCTGTTTGCAACAATAGAAGTAAATATTTTATAATCCGTATTTAACAAGGAAATTGGCCTATAGCTTTGTATCTATTGGGGGTCCAAATCTTCCTTTGGGATCAGCGAAATCAATGCGCCCCTCCATGAGTCCGGCATTCTGGCTGCCCATAAGACATCGTTAAAAACTTCCACCATAAGGGGTCCTATTAGTTCACCTATTGCCTTATATAATTCCCCTGGGATCCCATCTGGTCCCGGAGCTTTACCATTTTTCTGGTTCTCAATTGCTGTTTTCAATTCAGACCAAGTAATATCTTTGTTTAATAATTCTTTCATCTCTTCCCCAATTACTTTATCTTTCATTTTATCTAAATAGTTTCTTATCCTATCCTCATTGACCTCTTCCAGCAGTTCGGAAGAGCAGCAGACAGAGAGCATACATAGAACGTGTTCTATGTCTTCTGCTGTTTTGGCTCACCTGCCTGCCCGGGCTCTTACATAACCTTTATTTCCTGCTTTTTCAACTGCAGCTGCTTTGCGTGACACAGCTGCGAGTGAAAAAGCAGGAAAAAAGGGATTTTCCAACCGCTGCGTACTTGCACGCAGCGCTGCTCAGCTGTCCGGGCAGCTCAGCAGGTCATAAATTGCACTCATACATGCGCACGCAACACAGATCGCCAGAACAGGTAGTTATACTGGTTGGATCCCATCCCTAGGTTGTATGTTTGCATGCCTACAGTAGTGTGATATAGACATGATGATTTCTATATTCGTGAGTCATGAAAGCTTTGAAAATATCTACAACAACGTCTCTTATTTTACAATTATCTATATATATGCAAATCTCACTCAGAGTCAGTTTTGAGTTAAGGAATAATCAGGGGAAACATCCTAGGAGGAATTAGGAGAAAACTTAAGATTTATTGGGGTGGATTACTTTCAGCAGAGACCTGTGAGAAATGAAACAATTTTGAAACAAGCTCCTTCTTCCCCGGTGTATCTTGGAGCAGCTGCTCCACGGTGTCCGTCTGGCAGGTGGGATCCCCACTCGGCCTGTTCCTTGATCCCAGCAATCATATTTTGGAGATAAATTCCTTGCTTGAAGCCGCCCTTTGCCTTGTAAACGTTCTTCACGCTGAGACTGGAAAGGTTGGGATGCTTCAATGGCTATTTCACTGCCCCAAAGTCCAATCCACTTGCAAGGGCTCTTTGGCTGGATCTGGTACAGGCGTCAGTTCACAGAGAACAGAGGCCTAAAGTATTTTAGTGCAAGATCACGAGACCAGTAGTGCAAGAACCCAGGCTACTAACTTCGCGTAATCTCGCACTGCAGTACTTTAGGCCTGTGTTCATTTAAGGACTGAGGACTGCACGAGATCCAGGGCAAAAATCTTTGAAAATGAAGAGGCCTTCCCTCTCTTTGCAAAGCATATAGCCCTGGATCTCATGTAGGCCTTGGTTAGCCGAGAACAGAGGCCTAAAGCAATGTAGTGCAAGATCACGTGAGATCAATAGTGCTAGATTTCCCACTAGTGATCTCACGTGTCTCTCAATACTTTAAGCCTCTTTTTTCTGCCAATGCACCAAAGTAGGCAAAGGAACCAATGGCTCACCACATCATTGCAATGTACCATATTTTTTGGACTATAAGACACACTGGACTATAAAGACACACCTAGGTTTAGAGAAAGAATACAAGGAAAAAAATAGTTTTGCCCTCCACACATCCCATTTTTGCCCTCCCCGGTGTCCAGGTGCACTCTGCACGAAAAACAGGTTCATTTTTGACCTTCCAAACTCTTTGCACATCCTGTTTTTTCCCTCTCCAGAATCCAGAAGCATTCTGCAGGCCAAAAATGGGCCCAATTTTGGGCTCCCAAATCCTCTGTGCATCCCATTATCAGCCTCCCCAATGTTGTTGAGGCCAAAAGTAGGCCCGTTTTTGACCTGCAGATTGCTTCTGGATCCCAGGGAGGGTGAAAATGGGATGCGCGGAGGGTTTGGGAGGCCAAAAACAGGCCTGTATTGCCTCTATAAGGCACACAGACATTTCTACTTTGGGGGGGAGGGGGGAAAGTGCGTTTTATAGTCTAAAAACTACGGTAAGTCCCAGCTGGGTAGTGTGGGAGGATAGGTAGGGTGAATGTTGTAGAGCCTCTACTGTCATTTGTAAGTGTGAATGATGTCTGTGGTACTGCAACACTCATAATTTTGGGACTTGGTCTCAAGTACTTGGGGGAGGGCTGGTCGTAACTTGGAATGGTCGCTACTGAACTGTCATAAATCAGGGATTACCAGAATCCTAAGATGCTCTGAGTCACCCTGCATGAGGCCTTTGTTCTTGGATTGGATTGGAAGAATGTGTCAGCTTTGGAAGCCATGTTAGCATCTGAAGCTTCCACGCTGCCACATTCTTGAGCATGGGAAGACGGGAGGGGGGAACTTTGAGAACATGGAGTCTTGGAGTTTTTTGATTGGAGTTGAGTTTTTCTTGAAACTCTGACAGAATGTTCTTCCATGGGCTGAGTGTGAAAGTTCTGTTCTCACACAATTTAGAGGTTTCAGAGGAAAAATGACAACACATAAAGTCACATGACCTCCAAAGGTCACATAAAAATACAACTCATTCTTTTCAGCTGCCACAGATACATTCAAATAGAAATGGAAAAATACAGATAAGAAATGGCACACAAAGCATCTAAGCAAAGAGACATTGACTCTTTCCTTCCTTGGAGCACCACAAGCCAGATCCTTTCCTTCTCCCACCCAGGAGACAATATCTGATTAGTGCTTTTTTAATGAAAAACAAACTATAATCTCTCTTCTTGATTGGGGAGTAGAAAACTCTTACCCAAAGAGACCACATTCCTATGGTTTTCAAGCATGACTTCTGAATGCAGTGCTTTCTGGTCAGGATCTAGCCGAGACCATTCCTCCTCAGAGAAATACACAGCCACGTCCTTGAAGGACACAAGACCCTCCTGGACACGGAAAAAAGAACAAAAGAGGAGGATTTGCAAGATCTGTTCATCTTAATCATTGATTTAGACAAGAGGATAGAGAAGACCAAATTTGCAGAGAAGACCAAATTGACTGGAATACCAACACTCCAGAAGATAAGCTCGAGATACAGAAGGATCGACAGATTGGGCCCCACCTAACAAAACAAAATCAACAGTGAGAAATGTAAGGTTCTACATTTAGGAAAGAAAAACCAAATGCGCTGGCCTAGAACAGGTGATACCTGGCTCAACAGTTGAAAGTGCAACGGGGATCTTGGAGTCCTAGTGGAAAACCACTTAAATGTGAGTCAGCATTATGCTACAGTTGCCAAAAAAAAAAAAAAAAAACAACCCAACAGAATCTCCTAATCAAGGCGCAAATCAGATGATTGGAAATTATTTTGTAGGCCAAAGTACCATGATTACATGCTCAACATGGCAACTCCCTTTGGATTTTAATAGTCTGCTTTATTTTTTAATATGATTTCCTTATTTTTGAACTACAGGTTATAAATAAGGCTTTTTAAAAATGGTAATGTGGCTACGTATTTATTAATTGTTCATTAGCCTTGCACAATTCTAAGTCAAAGAATTACAAAAAAAGAAAAGGGTCTCTAGCAGTTCCTGCCACTGTGATAACTTTATTCCAATTTCTTCAAGAACTTTTAAAAAATTTCTTCTTGTAAACTCCAAGTTGGAGAAGTATCTAGCAGAACAAGATAACCAGAGGCAGCTATGCTGGCTGACAGCAACTTGAACCTGCTATTCTGCTCTCCATGTTGTGGAAGAACACAAAAATAATCCAGGCCAAACAAGGGGGGGAAACAAAAGGAGAGAGCCCTCTGCACACCTGCTTCACTTCCTGAAGGGAGAATACAAATCTAGTATCTTTTCCCTTTCTTACTTGATGTGGAGGTTCAACAGCCGTTTGATCTCCCTCATAAAAACCAGAAAGCTTCATTCTTTGTTTCTCTGTAAGGAATAAATAATTTCCAAATACATAATTAAACAATAGGAGGAGGTATTCTATAGGAGAGAAGAGAGAGCGAAGGGAAGACAGAAGGGTAATCGGAGGAACTTCCATTACCTCCTGAGGTGTCCTGACTTGGATCTTCCCAAGGGATCCTCCTGAAAAATAGCTCCTGAGGGGCATTTGATGGGTTCTTCTTTCCCTCAGGATCTCTTATCTCCACAGTTCAAATAGGAGGAAGGAAAAAAGAAGCAGAATTAATATACGTCACACCACACAAAGTGGTTTCTTATATTCGGAACACAACCTCAAAGCCCCCAATATCCATCTGTGTGACTGAGTGAGAAAACAGTGGAACAATGTTTTTTTTTTTCATTTTATTTGCCATAATTGGGATGCATGTTACTGATAATAACTCTTTAATTCATGCTGTTATTTGGAAGTCACTTAGTTTGAACTGTTTCTTTGAGCTGTGACATCATCGGCAACCACAACACAAATGTCAATCATTATCTTACATTGCCTCTAAACCTAACACCTCCAACAATCTGAGAATTTATTTTATTTATTTTTTATTTATTGATTGATTTGCCAATTGTTTACAAGATAGTAAGTATAAGTGTATACATAGTTGTGGATACATGAAATCGGTACATATAAGAAAAATAAAAGAATAAGAGAAACAATAGGACAGGGACGGTAGGCACGTTGGTGCGCTTATGCACGCCCCCTACAGACCTCTTAGGAAAGGGGTGAGGTCAATAGTAGACAGTCTAAGGTTAAAGTTTTTGGGGTTTGGGGAAGAGACTACAGAGTCGGGTAGAGTATTCCAGACATTGACCACTCTATTGCTGAAGTCGTATTTCCTGCAATCAAGTTTGGTGCGGTTTACTTTGAGTTTGTATCTGTTGTGTGCTCTTGTGTTGTTATGGTTGAAGCTGAAGTATTCATTGACAGGTAGGACATTGCAATGTATGATTTTATATACCATGCTTAAGTCAGACCGAAGACGGCGTAATTCAAGGTTTCTAGCTCAAGAATTTCAAGTCTGGTGGTATAAGGTATTCTACAACGAGTAGAAGAGTGGAGAACTCTTCTTGTGAAATATTTCTGGACTTTCTCAATTGTGCTAATATCAGATACGTCCTCCAAGAAATGGAGAATCACCTCATATTATGAACATGGAAGAAGTTTGGGAAGGAGGGGTGAAGCATTCAAGCACTCCCTTTATTTATTCCCTTCCGAGCTCGCTAAAGTCTCCCACCTGCTTCTGGAGATGCTCCTTCTGCTCCTCTGCCTGGCTCAGGAGGAAGCCTTCCGCCAGAGCCACCGCCTGGGAACTACTCTCTGCTCCACACTCCCGCACCCAGCCCTCCATCTCTGGGGGCAGGAGAGCCAGGAGCCGCTCCAGAACCACCAGGTCCAGCATCTGGGCTTTGTTGTGCTTTCCTGGGCTCAGCCATCGCCTGCACAAGTCATGGAGTCGGCTGCAAAGTTCTCGGGGACCCTCAGCCTCCTGGTATTGGATGGAGGTCCAGGGTGGAACTTCTGAAGGGAGGAGGATTCCCTCCTGCAGGACCTTCTGCCCAGTTCTGGTCCAGCTCTCCCCAAAGCTCTCAGGCCGAAGAGCCGCAGGGCCTTTCCCGCTCCCCTCCTTGGCCAAAGGGTGTGTCTCCATCCTTCCTCTTTCCCGCAGAACAGCTCCAAAGGGCACCAGGGACTCTGGGGGTCTCCAGGAGCCTCTTCCTTCACGGGACCATTTCTGGGGTCGCAGGACGGATCCCTGCTGGTCCTTCCTTTTTTCCTTCCTTCTTTCCTTCCCCCTCAAAGGAAATCCTGGCTTTGAAAGGCTGCCAAGGGCTCCGAGGTTCCGGATCTGGGAGGGAGAGAAAAACCGACGCCCATGATCAGAAAGGGGGATTGAGTCCCTGGACCCCTTCCCCCAACCTGCCCGCAGCCCCAAGCAGCTCCTCCCAGCGCTGGGCCCAGACCCCCCCCCCCAGGAGCACCCCCGGGAAGGAGGCCGCTGGAGAGGGCACCCCCTCTCTACGAATTCTGCCTCCTCCTCCTCCGGATTCTCTCCTGCTGGGCCTCCGCCAGCCCCGCCCTCCCCTCCCCCCCTCAGCATGGAGAGGGCGGCTGGAGAGCGTGGGACCTGGGAAGAATCCCCCCCGCACCCGGGGCACGTCTGGATGTCCCCCCGCCAGACTCTCCTGCAGCCAGAGCGAGTGCTGCGCCTTAGAGAGGCAAGGCCTAGAGGCTTCCTCTGGGAAGGCAGCCGTCCAGCGGACCAATGGGGAAGCGCCTGGAGTTCCCTTCCCTTGGCGGAGGGCGCCCCCTGGTGGACTTGGGGCAAAGCGTCCGATGGTAGAAAGGGCGGGAAAGAGGAGCGCCTGGGAGAGGGAAGGGATTATGGACTTGGGAGTAGCGGGAAAGGCTCCTCTCCATGGCTCCCTGTCGAGGACTTCAGAGGCGGCTCTTTCTCCGCCTTCCTCTCCTTCCTGCCCAGGAGCTACCGGTGGAGACGGAGGGAAGAAGCCTCTCGGGGGGGGGGAGTCCGAACTCGCCTCCCTCACTAATCACCGCCCTGAGGGCTGCGGAGAGATCGGAGGAGGCCTCGAAAGGGGCCAAAAAACCCTGTCAGAAACGGCCGGGCAGTCGGAAGACGAGGACCGGGAGGCTCTCTGGGGAAGCCAGCTAACTCCGACCTGAAGGGGGGGAGGAAGGTGGGAGACCGGCAGGGACGACCCAACCAGGAAAAGGATTGGGGTTTTTTTGTGTGTGTTGATTTGTCTTTTTATTTCTTTAATTCAATACATAACAGCTGCCTTTCCCAAATGATTCGCCTCTGGTGGCCGCGGAAAGAGACTCTGAAGGGAAAGAAAAGCAGTTCCCGAATGGAGGGGAAGCTGAAAGCGATGAATTTTACCTCATAACGAGGCTCCTCCATTGGGAAGCGAAAGGGGGGGGGAGGGCGTCGCGTCGCTGGGTCCCTTCTGTTGTTCTGTTCTATGATATCTCCCCTAAAAGGGGGACTCTGGGCGGCTTGCAGGTTATGACTGAAAAGGAAATATATTAAAATGTTTGTGTGTGTGGAGAAAAGGCGGGATTGCAAAATTAAGAAAGGGAAAAAATGGAGGGAAACTACCGGTGAGGGGGAAAAGCCGTCTCCGCGTAGGGCTTGCCACGCCCACCCAGTCACATGGCCACACCCACTAGGCCACGCCCACAGAACCGGTAGGGAAAAAAATTTGAATCCCACCACGGCTGTCCAGGAACCGCAACCGCTGCGTCCCGTTGTGGAAGCGGCACTCGGTCTTCGTCTGGGCCAGGAAATGGGCTGCGAGGAGGAGGGGGAGGAGGAAGAAAGCCGTCAGGAGGGACTCGGCTGAAGATTGATGGAAGGTGTCCCATAGGGAGAGCAGTCCCAGGGTCTCCCCAAAAGCCATGGGCCTCACTCAATTGGGGGGGGGATATCAATGGAGACCAGGCAGCTCTTGGGCAGGAGAGTTTCAATCTGGATCTCTGCTGGGGGGGGCGCACTGGGACTACTAAGACTATGGGGGAAAAAAGATTTCCCCCTAGGGGGGGGGGCTGTTTGGGAACCTAAACGGATAGCGTCATTTTGAGGGTAAGAGTTGAAACAGTTTATGTCCAAGATGTGAGGGGTGTGTAAATATTTTCACAGCCCTCTTTTTGACTCGTGCAGGATACAGGT